GTCCCCGGGGCTCACCCCGTGCGGTTCTTACCCTCACGGGTCGCTGCATGCTGCTCCTCCGCCCGCCGCTCCGCTGCGTCCGTGCCTTGTGCCGCCTGCCCGCGCCCGCGCTCATGGACCTCGGGGAGGTCGTCTCAGCCCTCAGTAACTTCGCGTCCCTCTCCCTGGCCGAAAGCTGGGACAATGTGGGGCTGCTGGTGGAGCCGAGCCCTCCCCACGCTGTGAACACCCTGTTCCTCACGAACGACCTCACCGAGCAGGTGATGGAGGAGGCGGTGCAGAGGAAGGCAGATCTGATTCTTTCTTACCACCCTCCTATATTCACACCCCTCAAGCGAGTAACGTGGAAGACCTGGAAGGAGCGGCTGGTGGTGCGAGCCCTGGAGCACAGAATCGGGATTTACTCGCCGCATACGGCGTACGATGCCTTACCTCACGGGGTTAACAGCTGGCTAGCAAAGGGACTCGGTGAGACTCTGTTAAAAAAAACTTTAAATTATTCATCAGTATATGCTGTTTACGTGGGCACATTCCCTCATGTTCCTTTCTTCCAGCTTTTAAAGCTGTGAGTTGAGGATTTTTTTCTTCTCTCCTTCCCCCCAGTGCTTTTCTAGTACTACTAAGAACCTTAAACATATTTTAGGAAATTTATCTTGGTGATGTATACCAGATACAAATACTAGAGGGAACCTCCAGATGCATGACTGTACCCCTGGATGTAGCCAGAACTGGTGGAGCATATCTATTGTCTGTTGTAGTTGCAAAGTTTACACCACTAACTTTAAATCACCACCTTTGATTTATAAAGTACAAGATCTCATTGTTTGTAAAGGACTTAAGCTGTCTGAAATCATCCTGTGTCATGGCTCATAGATTACAACAGCTGTGTCTTTTCCAGCCTGCCATGCAAACCAGATGTGATTCTTGGTTTTGTACACTCCTTAGGATAAACTGGATGGCATTAAGAATGACAGTATATGTCCATTAACTTCTTTGGACTTAAAACAGGCTGTGCTTAATGGAGACAACAGGAGTAAAAGTTCTCAGTTCTGGTCAGGGAAAATGGATTCAAGTATAAAATTTGCATCTTTTTGTTGCATCTCTTTAGAATATGTGCTAAATCAGTATTGGGATACTTACCCAGCTTTATAAAACAGTGACCTTGTACTGTTTCCTCAGGTGCCTCTACTTCCATCCCACTGCATCCATCGACTGCCCCAAGCTATCCAGCTGAGAGCTCTCACCGGGTAGAATTCCTCACAAGTACTGAGCATCTGGACACAGTGCTGTCCAAAATCAAAGATATCCAAGAGATCTCTTGTCTCATTACTCTCCCAGCCAGGTATCTGCTCCAGTCTCTTAATATTGAATTCTTGCTGTTGTTTGAAACAATGTCACAGTAATTGTATTTTGCTGTTGTAATCACTGTGCATTGCTGCTATATTTTTTCAGCAACAAATCTAAAAACTTAAGGAATAATCAAACCTTTGTGATCAATCTGTGTCATGGTAAATGGTAACAGCACCTCAAGTCTAGCATCACATAGATTAGAGGTGGTAATGAAGAGTATTAACAGGAAATCTGATGAGGACAGTTGAGTTAAGTTCCCATATCTGTTTCTTCCAAGAGAGTGGACTAGGCTGGGCTATTACAATGCTTTCTCTTTCTCTTTTCTCAGTGGTAGAATAGCCACTGGGATAGAATAGCTTTGTTTTATAGTAATTACAATGCTGAAATTTTATCTAGCTTCTTAGCAAGCACCAAACATATCTTTCCTCAGGGTTGAAGGTGAGGAGCAAACACGAGTCAGTTTGAACTGCTCTCAGAAAGCACTGTTGGATGTGGTGGCATTATTGTCCCAGAACAGCCTTTATCACAAGACTGAGATTCTCTTACTGCAAAAGGTAACAAAATCACATATTCCTTCCAGTGAACATATTACTTGTGTGAGCTAAGTGCCCTAAACACTGAAATGCAGTGCTCAGTAGCATCAAAGGTTTCCTATGCTCCCCTGTCAGTGCTCTGAGACACTGGCCTAGTGGGGATCTGAAGCTGCACACATTTTCCAAAGCAATGAAACCATCTGGCCTGTACTAATTCTTAAATGAGTTCCAACAGCTAGTGTAGTTAGCATGTTGCATTTGAAGGACAAATGTAAGAAGGACATAGAATTGTTGGAGCAAGTCCAGAGGAGGCCACAAAGTTGATAAGAGGACTGGAGCATCACTCCTATGAAGACAGGCTGAGGAAGTTGGGGCTGTTTGGCCTGGAGAAGAGAAGGTTGTGTGGAGACCTCAAGGAATCTATGATCCTATGATCACACTAGAGCACAGAACTCACAGCATTTAAATTAGCCCATTCCTAGCAGCAAAGCAATAAAACCCCAACACTTGTGGAGAATTTTTCATTCAAAAATAAAGTTCAGCTGCACTTTGAGGATCTGCAGGTTGCCCAGATAAGCTGTGGATCCCCCATCTCAGGGGGTGTTCCAGGCCAGGTTGGATGGGGCTTTAAGCAACCCAGGCTAGTGGAAGTTGCCCCTGCCCATGGCAGGGGGGGTTGGGACCAGATGATCTATAAGGTCCATTCCAACCCCTAAATTCTGTGATTCTATGATTTGAGAACATCACACACATATTTTTTTGTAAAGTTCAGAGACATTCCTGAATGCCCAGTATACTCATCCTTGTATGTGATGAAAAGCAATACCAGCTTCTGGAGTCAGCTTTCTCACAGTAATTTTAATTTCTTTTCAGCCTCCTCTTCCCCATACTGGAATGGGACGTCTGTGCATCCTGGACAAGCCAGTCTCCTTGTCAGACATAATCGAGCGTGTCAAAACCCACCTAAAACTACCCCACGTCCGCACAGCCCTGGGAGTGGGCAAGACACTAGGTAAACAGGTCTGCAAGTAAGAGTGTCCATCAGAACTGGTATTTCTGGAAGATAAAGAGCATGAGTGAGTGAGTGTGTGTGAGAGTGGGGAATACTGCTCTGTCTTGGACAGGTTTACCTCCAAGTATTGTGTGGCACTGTTAAGAAACAGCACCTTAGAATTTACGTGATAGAACCACACAAAAAGAATTTCATCTGTATTTGTAATGGGAAGCTCTGTATTACATGGTGAAGAAGAGACAGCACAAGTTGAAGACAAGATGTGCTTTTTCATAATTTATATAATGACTAAGATCTTTTTCCCTGCCCAGAATATCAGACACAAAGGAATGCAGTTTCATTCTACACCCCCTTTTGTGACTGAATGTTAGATCTCTAAGCACCTTAAAACAGTGAGGCACTTTATGGTACCCTTATGAAGAACATGTAACCATGTTACATGATGAAAGAAAAGTCAAAGAAGGTGAACTAGCTCAAATGGTGGCTCATTAGTAAAACATGGAGCAAGTGTTCTCTTATCCCAACTATCTATCCTGATCTCCAAGAGCACAGCTATTAGAATTTGTGAGAGCAAGTTTATTGAGAACTCTTTGCAATTTAGGAGTCAGAAGTCTTACTAGAAGCCTCTTTGCTATCAATTGCACTAAAAAAATCTGCACTACTTTGAAGCTTCTCATTGTGGTGTGAGATTGCAGTGGCATTACTCCACTTAAAAACAGGAATTGCATGGTAACACACTGTAAAGCCTTAGCAGAACTTGAAAATGGTGTTGTGTGTCCTCTCTCCTTAGTGAATGTAATGTATATGAAGAATTAAATTTCCTGACATTATCACATACGTAATAGCTTGGAGTCAGCAATCATAGTAAATGGACAAATTTTTAATGGCATGGAGCAGCTTTCAGCTTGCATTGAGATTGGTCTTTTGAGAGCTAAAAGCTAGGAACCAGTATATCTTGGAGGCAAAATACTGCCCTAGTGGCTTCATTAGTTGGGAAACTCATCATTGTGGAACACAATAGTCCTGGAAAGAATAGCAACCTATGAAAGGGTTCAGAAACCTAACTAAGTAACACCTCACTAGGAGAAAACTAGACATCAGCCAGCCTCCATGCTGTAGTGTTCTGCAAACTACCCATCACAGAGTACTTTGCTGTGTGCACCAGAGATGTTATAGGCCCATGACTCTTGCACACTAACAGTTGTGTCTCTTCCTCCAACAAATTTACATTGACCCCAAAATCAAGGTAGTAGTTGTTATGAAACAATTAACAGCAATATGGGCATGAAGGCTGAACAGAGTAGGTTAACTGTGGCACCTTGTATCCTGCAGAATCACCAGTGAAGAAAGCTGCTCTGTGTGCTGGTTCTGGGAGCAGTGTCCTGAAGGGAACGGAGGCTGACCTCTATCTCACAGGTAAAACATTATGTTGCTGTTTCATTATCTTTATAAAAATAGTCACTATGAAGAAAAATTTTAAAAAGCAGGAAAAAAATAAATGAGTTGACCAGCTATTGAACCATTTGGCCAGAAAGAATTACCCGTTCTTTGTAATTGAGAATCAATCATTCAGTTATTGGAATGGTAGAAGAATGACATTCGAGGTAATGTGGATCAGATGGCTGTGTGGCACAGCGGAAGTTATTTGAATTACAACATTGCTACACATGCATGACTTCAACACAGAATCAGTGTGGATGGCAGTCTATTGCAACTTTCAGTGTGTTTCTCCTTTGGCAAGATACTTCCTCAGTTCCCTACAGAATTCCTTAATGGAAAACAGAATATAACGGAGTCTATAGAATCTTCTAAAGAAACTCCATAGCGTGTCTGACCAAAGAGTCACTTAAAGTCTGTTATTCTCTCTTCCAGCAGTGGGACAGCCATTCCTTATAGCTTGGTCAACAATGCCTTGCATTCTGTAGGAATTGCTTGGAGCAAGTTCTTTGGCAAGGCTGCCCCATCTCCCCATTACATACAGCCCTGACCCTCAGGCTTCCCAATTGCTATCCTGCATCACAGCAACCCATCTAGGCAGTCCTCTTCCAGACCACTCTGAGCACTTTTATTTCCTGCCCAAAGTGGCAGAATTTACCACTATTCTAAGAGGGCATGGAATTTCTGTGGGTTTGTCTCAGCTGTATATGGAGAATATCAGCTGAAAGTCTTTCAGAGGACACTGGAGCAGGAGTGTTCCATGTTCTTACTGAGCAGGTGGTATTGCATTCCCCCTTGTGGCTATATTCCTTTACATCTTCCCAGCTTTTAGCTAAGATTCTGCATACACTGCAAAGACCTGATTACCTAAACTGTTACTATTAGTGATCTGCACGACATTTCTTTCTCAAAATGGCAGGAGAGATGTCCCACCATGATGTTCTGGATGCAGTTCACAATGGGATAAGTGTTATTCTGTGTGAGCACAGTAACACTGAGCGAGGCTTCTTGTCAGAGCTGCGTGACATGCTTGCTATCCACCTACACAACAAAATCAACATAATTGTGTCTGAGAAAGATAGAGATCCTCTCCAGGTGGTATAGGAGGAAAAAATAGGAGTGAGACAATTCAGGCAAGAGTTTCATGGTATCTTGCACAGACTGCAAGCTTAATGAAGATGCTTACAATTGGTTCAGGAGAGAATTACTGCATTATATGGTCCCTCAAAGTTTGGGGTATATTTTGTCATGTCAGAAAAATAAATGCTTGTTTTGAACTACCACAGGCTCATTTACTCAATTACTGGGCTGTGCTTGAATAAATTTACTGTTACTGGTTACTCCTATTAGATATGTTTGATAATCATCATACTTAAGGATTGTTTTGGGTAAAATATCTCCAGATTTAAGCTTATGCAGCAGTTCTACCCAGTTATGTCAAATCATGTCAGTGCAAGTCACATTTATTTTAGCTAATAAATCTCATAAATAAGTTAATTAAAGGGTATGGATCACCTATTTGCATTAACAGGCACCACTCAGATGCAAATAGGTTGCACAAATCAGGTTTTTGGTACTAATACTCAGTTGCACTGTCTACCATTAATGCAGCTTTAAGGTGTTTTAATAGAGAGGCTCTCAATTAAAAAGGTTAAAACTCAATTCCTTAACAAAGCTGCTTTTGTTACTTTCTTTTAAAAACAGATTCTGTAACTGTGGCTCTTAGCTACAGGATTACTAAAACTGAACAAGTAATATTTTCACCACTGACAATGCTTGAGTTTTATTTTTCAAGTGAGTTTTCTGTTGTGATTTTTTTCTTTTAAGGAAACTAAAAATCTCAGTTGCATACCTTACCACCTCTGGGGTTTGTGCACACCAGAATAATATTTAAGCAAAATGAAAATATTTCCATTGCAAATTCATAAAGATCTTGGCACCACCCTTTGAATTAATAAAACTGGCTCATCTAGCAACATCTCCATCACACAACTGCACTTACTTGTTCCCCTTAAATGTAAGTAAAAAGAGATGACTCACTATTATCTGAAGCTACTGAGGCTATATAAAGGCCATCATTCTCATCAATCCCATGGACACACCTCAGTAAGCTGAGGAACAGGAAGTGGGAAGAAATATCTTCTTTCCCAAGTAAAGGACAATAAAAGTGATCCCTCCAAATCCAGCAGTTCTGTTATTGCTAAAAACACATTAAAATGCTACTACCTTTGTACATAAACAGAATTCAAGAGATGTAAAATTAATGCATAAATGGGCTATGTATCTAGAAACAGCAAAATAGTGCAGGATAAAATCAGCACAAAACCCACAGGAATGAATTCAGTCATTTCCTTTAGCTTGCATCACAGAATTAGTAGCAGCCAAAAACTTAGCAAACTTAACCTTCTCTTAGCAGCTGTGTGGTATCTCCTGCGGCTGCTCCTCATGGCGTGTATGGACATCTGGTAGTCTACCAAAACTGTTAGCAGATAATGGTGAACTCAGGATGATTATAACACTTCCTTAAAGTACACTTCATATCTAGAAAACCAGCCTATTGCACTGAAAATGCACCACTGCCTCACAGGAACTGTGGAGAGAATCAAAGGGTTGAAATATAGGATATGGTTGCTGCTTAGCTACAGTTTAAAGTTTTTCCAAGAAATCTGCTGAAGTGGTAGAGTTCTTGCTCTTGAACTCTACACCTAACTTACAGAACTTGGGTATGACACAATGCCTTGATCTTGGTTTTAGTGATACTGATAGCAGCCTAAGTAGTGATAAGCAGCATCTGAAACATTTTACAAAGCTTTCAAACTACAGCCAGTAAAATGCAGATGCAACTGCTGCCAAAAGAGAACGTTAGTTGAAAAACGTTCAGGGGGAGGAAGCTGGAGTACTTGCTGGCATATACCAGTTTTCCCCATCAGACTCTCCAGCAAAACCAGTAAGGACCTATATTTGAAGAATCAAGTTGACAGTGGGACAAGTAGATACCCCATGTTTCCAATACAAACTAAAGTCAGGCTGTAAATCTCTGTTGCTTCTGTCAGTGAGGGGTAGATAAGGTAACTGTTACTCCATGGGATGTTGTGGTTCTCATTTTAGAAGGCAGCCAAACCATTCCTAATTTTGATACCTTCTAAGAAACAATATAAAGTATTTTTACGAATTAGTTTGAACTCTTCTGCCCACTGTATGAGGATTTGCACAGATTTTTTTGACATAATGGAAATGAGGCTTTTGCACAACTGCCACAAGGATCTCTATCTTCTATTGCTTAAAAGACTGGAAGACAAGACAAGCTAATGAAAATTAATAAAGTACTTTATTTGATTGATTTGAACTATTACAACACTGAGCTGTAACACAGCTACCAAATATTAGAGATACAGAGTCCCTGAAGTCTGGCTGGCAGACTGCAGCTGATGGAACTACAGAACTTCCTCCCACATGACTGAGGAAAAAAAAGTGATGAGAGCTTATAAATGGCATTTAAGGCCACCTCCAGCACCAGTGGACATTGCTGATGTAAAAAATACATATATACAATCAAGCTTTTAAAAAAATAAAAAAGCTTCATAGCCTCTTCATCTTTTGGATTGCACCTTGGAAAGTAGATGAAAACAGATGATCCTCTCACCATCACCAACAGGCAATGAGTTGAGTCCATCACAACTTTGATTATCTCGATCTTACAAAAGGGTGTGGCTTCAGGGCAAGTCCTTCAGTTCTACTGCCAGAATTTACTAAGTTCCCCACAGCATCCCAAACCAACGAGTGTTCTCCTTTCCTCACGCAGTCAAGGCAGGTCTGTCAGCATTGTAATCTTGACTTCTTCATACGCTGGAAGCTACTTTTGTGTCACTGGTAAAGGAGTACTGGAAAGCACTCAGCTGAGAAAAGCTGTACCACTAGTACAAACTAAAGTGCTGACCATCTTGTGATTTGCACTTCCCAAGTAAATTGCTCCCATCAAACCCTCATATCTAGTGAGGGAGAGAGCAGAAGGCACAATCTTGCTTACTGAGTTTGTTTTTCTGACTGTAAGGCTGTCTGCACAGGTATGAGGAAGGCAGTATCTGAGCTAAGAGACAAAGCAGACAAATCCAACTAGAGTGCAAGAAATGCCTTACTTACAGAAGTCATCATTTCAAACTACCTGAAGTAGTTAAATAACCAGCATGGTTCATTAGAATTATTACTCTTCAGTCTAGCAGCTGTGGGGTAGGAGGAAGAGACATCTGAGTATAGGCTGCTCTCCAGCAGCCCTTGAGAGAAATTACTGTAGTTGCTTTGAGAACAGAGACATTATACATCTTCATCCTGTTTTTCCAAGAAGTCGGTCAAGGTACCGTCATCTACAGGAATTAGTAAGTATTCCACACCATCAGTACCCTGAGAACAGACATGCATACACATTCTGTTAACACCAGTGTACAGTGCAAGACAAGCCACTAGACAGCACCACAACTCTAGCATTTATCTGCATTCTGGATGAGAGCTGGCCAGCATTCAGGACTACATTATTAAAAAAACAGGAATATTTCACTAGAGCAACACTGGAAATGCAGATATTGAGAAAAGTCAGTATATGAGAAATCTGTTGGGTTATGTTAGTCTGACATAACACAGCTCCTCAACACTATTGCCATCTCTAATACTGCTATACTGCCTTGTTATTATGACTAGTCTGCATTCTTTCCTTGTGCAAATACAGGTAACTATTGTAAGCAGACTGGCAGGCTCCGTAGTCTGTTAGATCTCACAGACTGCAAGAACAAGAGACCTGTAAGTTGCTGAGTAACCAAAGCAAGCTACATTTTTGCAGTCCCTAACAAATTTGACACATGAAAAGAGCTACAAATGCAACTACCTTGCTAGTTCTTAGGTACTTAAAACAACACAGCCTCCTTACTAGCAAGTAAAAATCTATTTTGCTTAAAGTGGCTGAATATCCAGAATTATCTTCTTCCCCCAACTCACTCGCTTGGTCCGGATGAGCCTGTGGTCCCTGAATTCTGTCAGCTGTGCCCTGAGTGTCAGATCACTGTTCACAAGGAAAGCCTCCCGACACTGCTGGTAAAAGTCTTGGAACGACAGTCCTGGAGATAGAAAAAGGCAGGAACAAGAAATTGAAGTGGTAAGATTGTCAGATTTTTCCAGATCTAACACCATGTATTATCTCCACCTGAAAGTCTTGCTTTGGCTTAGACCACAGTGGCTACAATAACATCACAACCAAGCTAATATTTCAGTGATTGATGGAAAACAGCTGAATTAACATTCTAGTCATCCTGTTGCCTAATGGAATTTTAATAGCTCTCTAAATGCACTTTCCAACATGGTTAATCTTCCTTAATTTTCAACTCCTCCTACTTCCAACTCTGTTTACCATTGACATGTTGTTCATATCCACTGCAGCACCTGTTACAGACAGTGGCAGAATATTCCACATGTATCCTAGAAAGCAGGGATACTTCAGAAGTCACTTAGATAGCAACAGCATGGGATCAGAAGCTCATATCTTTCCCTGGTCCTTTAAGTGCAAGCTGTGCCAATTTATATCTTCATTTTAATTTTTTTAACTTCACAGCCCCCCATGAATGGTCTCAGTCATGTCTAAGCATCAAAGCAGATGACAGTAAGAGGTCCTTCAGAACCAGTCCATCTACTGAATTCCTGTCAGAGTCAGACAGTGCCACTAGAAAGACACTGAGCCTGACTGAGCCACTGTTACAGCACTTCTGTTGCTGGGGATGTAACCTGCATACCAAAAGCCAGTACCACTGTGAACAGCAACGCCCCAAACAGATGAGAAAACATGGGCACATACCTGGATAAGATGGGCTGCCCTTGTTCTCCAGCTGGTATTGAGCAAGCAATCTGAATATCCCCCTAAGTTAAAGGAGGAAAGGGGAAAATCAAAATAGTAATAACAAAAAAAAACCCAGCCCCACCATTAGAAAATATCAACTGATTTTTCCCTAGCTGTGAGTCTCATCACAGGACAAGGTTTGCTATACAAATGCCATTCATTTAAAGTAACCAATCAACTGTAAACCAGGTCCTACCATCTTCATCTTTCCATGTCAGAAAACATGGACTGTAAGGACTGGGTCCTCAGCAAGTGCTGCTACAGTACCTCACCTGGCATTGGGAGTGAGACTGTGCAGGACGTGCATTAAGGAGCTCAAAGCCAAAGTTCCAGATCGTTGTACTAAAAGTGAGTTCTCATAAGATGTTTCTTCCACGTAAGGACTAAATGTGGTTGTTTCATACCAAAGCCAGTTATAAAGGCTCAGCTTTGCCTGATCCCACACTAGAGAGAGAAAAAAGAAAGAGCAGGCAAAAGAGTGAAATTTATCTTTTCTAATGTGTTAAATAAGCAATATTAAAATGTACTTAGTTCTACTGTAGGATTGAGGAAACAATGTCTGCTTGTGAAATTCACAGTACATAGACTCAGGTACTTGCAGTTCCAGCAAGACAAATTCTCTGCAACAGAACATTTGCATGCATCCCTTTTCCACACCAGCTTCCAATCCTTCCAGAGTCAGCAGTGTGCAAACAACTTCTGGCTGTAGCAGGATGCTCTACCTAGAGTGGGGGAAAACCAGCTCGAACAATACTCTATTTGCAAAGCTATCAGTGGTGAATGGAGAACGGGGAGGGGGAAGGGGGAGTCACACTGCTTTTGGTGCCAAAGAATGCTGACTGACACATCCCAGAGTTAAACATTCTGAAGAACAGTGTCTCCTAATACCAACGGACACCAGTGTGGGTATGACAGTTAAAGTACCTGATACCAACAAGTGATAATACTGGTGTCTTATCTAAAGCTGCTGAGTTGACACAGCTGGCCTGGAGACATATGACTCACAGTTAGTCACTTTATACTATAAAAGTCCAGTCCCACTTCTTAACAGTAGGGTCTTCTAACATACACCTTCTCAGAGTGTGTGGAGATTCCTCACTTGAATGGGAATATCCATCAAGGTTACACCTCGAGGCAGAGCTAGATATTTGCCCATGGCCATTGATATGGGTGAGCAACATCAATCTCTACTTAATGATTGTGATAATACTCTTATCTAAAGCTGCTGAGTTGACACAGCTGGCCTGGAGACATATGACTCACAGTTAGTCACTTTATACTATAAAAGTCCAGTCCCACTTCTTAACAGTAGGGTCTTCTAACATACACCTTCTCAGAGTGTGTGGAGATTCCTCACTTGAATGGGAATATCCATCAAGGTTACACCTCGAGGCAGAGCTAGATATTTGCCCATGGCCATTGATATGGGTGAGCAACATCAATCTCTACTTAATGATTGCTTTTGCTAGCTTTAATATAACTGCTTCAATATTGCTCAAAAAATAGTGCACTATACTAATAGTCATAGCTACCTATACTGTGTAGTAAATAATTCTGATTAAAATCTTTAATCATCAACTTAATCAATTTAAATAAATAATTTCTTTATATAAACGTTTGGTTTGCCATCCTTAATCCTGAAAAGCAAAGTTGTATAAAGGTTCAATTACACCTATAGACATAAACCTCTAGACATACACCACTGATAGTGACAGTCCGGGGCTGATACTGGATCCAGCTGCACCCAGACTCCTCTCTGAGAAAGAGTTTTGAAAGCAAAGGGGTCCTTCCTCCACCTGTGACTCGACAGAAGGCTTCTCTAATAAACTTTGTCTGAAGCTCCCATTCTGCCCACAACACTGACTGACAGACATCCAATCTCCAGTTCAGTAAGTCCCTAAAACGAAGGGGTGCCAGAAGCTTGCAGTCCATTTGTATATTATGATCAGTATTATTTCTCAGTATCTTTATACAGTTTTGGTTCAACACAGCTATACTCCCAATCAGGACTACCACATGTACATCAACAGATCTGTTCTACACATCAGGAGTAATACATAAGCTTATCAAACACGCTCAGCAGCCCCAAAGCAGGATGCAGATTCTTCTCTTTGCTAGATCAGGCCCAAGGAACTCACTGAGGGGTGCATTGATGTGATCGATGGAGGCAATGAGGTAAATGCTTGGCAGGGAGGATAACTGTGCAAGGATGTGCTGACTTCTTTCTCCCCTCAGCATCTGGCTGTCCAGGTTATGAATGAGCACATAGAGCTCTAAAGATGAATCTGCAAGGTCAGAAAGAACAGCAGAGAACCAATCAAAGAAACAGCACACAAGGTGGTTTCCCATTCCCAGTGCAGCGTAGCACAAGTCTACTCCATCAAGCTCCATATTCATCACTCCAATATCAAATCACTTTCCTTGTACAGCTTCCTTTGGTCTCTATCCCATACTTGGTGTTTCTGAGCACCTAAAAGGCTTTTCTCAATTCACTTTACTACAGTTCTCACCACAGCTACAGTTCTTTTTTCAGTTTAAGCTTTCCTGTTATGATCTTTCTGCTTGCTCATGGCTTTATCAGGCATTGCCCTTTTAGCTGTGACATTTTTATGATTCAAATATATTAAAATATATTTTAGAATGGAAGTCTAAGCACAGTTTCTTCAGCTGCTTTTGAGCTTCACAGGTAGGATCTTTAAGATCCTCCTCACACAATGAAAATGCATTTTCTATTCAGGGTTGGATCCAAAGCAAACTAACTTCATTGGAAGTTTTTCCCACTGAGTCCTCAATGAAAGTTACAAAGACCCAGCTTGGATAATGCAAATGGTAGATGTTAAAATTTCCAGCTAGCTTCCTGTTGCTATACTTATCCCTAGGAACAGCTGTTTCCTGAGTCTAGAAACAATTCTCAAACCGTAACCGGTTTTTGTGCAAATGAATACATAACTGTCTGCCAACGGAAACCAAAGGTTCCTCAGACTCCCAGTTAGATCAACTGCAGTATCTTTGTATATAATAATACATATAATATAATCAGCTACAAGACTGATTTATGTACATTCAGGTGGGTACCACTGCTAACTAGACTTTTTCACTTAGTCCCACCAGAAATAATAAGGTAATGATGGAAAACAGAATGTAAACACTGAAACACCAATGCCATGGACAGGTAAAATCTATGTATGTACACACAAGCAGTAAAATTCAGCAAGCATTCTGTGTGCCAATGCCTGTTTCATTTTGCTTTTGAACTCAGTTCTAACCTGCTTGTTTGACACTGCTGTCCTGCTGTAAAACACTGACTGAGGTAACAGCTTGGGATCATGTACACATACATTCCTGATGCATATATGTTTTCATATATGTTGCACAAATTACAAGCAAGAAAGTATACTAGCTACAATAAACTAATAAACTGCAACTGCACATATGAAAACTGAAAAGAACAGTAAGTGGACTCTAACGTTTTTGTGTATGAAGTTAGTCATTTTACCTTCTTTAAACCTTTCAATAATGAATTCAAGTTGGTCAAGAGGGCTGCGAAAGGTCCCTACGTGGTCCAATACCTCCTCTGTGATGGAATTGAGAATCTGAAAAAGAAGTCCTTTATGAAGGGCTCTGGCACTGAAGTGCAGAAAATCTGAAACTGAGCCCTTGACTGTCATGTGGGAGGTAATCTGATTTTTACCAGCAAATCCCCCAGTCAACAGAAACAAAACATTTCCACCCCTTTTCGAAACAGTGACATAAAATAAGGTTTTAGACATGAGTATCTATTAATGATAGGAATTACTACAATTTCTTGGGAAAAAAGCATGGGATACTTTTTTTAAAGCATTAAAAGAAGGAGAGGAACTGCTCTTCATTCCAGAGACTGCTGCTATAGGATGCAGCAGACTTAACATTTCATATAGAAAGACTTTAGATGTCTCTGTTACACAGGATGATTAAATAAACCCATAAGCTTTTCCAACACTTACAGATTTCACAGTGATGCTGGGGAAGTATCCATTAACCACAAGGTGAACAGAATCCTGGAGCAGAGAGGTACGAAACTTCTCCAACAAATCACGCTTTGAACCCAGTCCATAAAGCAAAATATTGAAACCTAAGCTGCAGAAAAGTGAGCAAATACACTGAATCAAAAAACTAAAGTCCATTTTTAGGTCCATACATTCACAAAGCAAAATGATCCATTGCAATCTTGCCTCTAAAAATTCATGTTTCATCAGCTCCAGGCTTACCTTCAGCTCACAGCTGATAAATAAGATTAGCTGCAAGCAATCTGAAATGTGGCATGTGCATCTTAGCAAAAGAAGCATTTTAGCAGTCTGGAGGCTCACAAATATAGCAAAACATCCATGGAAGAAAATGATATTGACCAAGAACAAATGTAATCAGCATTCACATACATCCCCTCACCAGTGATTATATTATATGTTTACCATGGGTCACAGCAATTACAAGAAAAAAAGCCTTCACACTGGTTTTACATTCTGATCCACAGGCACAATTTCAAAGCAAAATTATTCTCATATATATATTTTTAATTCTAATTGTTCCACAGAAAGAGGCAGGAAAGCATGAAGACAACATGCTTGGAGTAGGAACTCCAATTTTCAAAGCTAATGTCTTTCATACACTGTCACTCCCCATGGACCACAAAGTTCTCTATACTCCACCCTGCTGCAAAGCTTCCAAGGGGCTTTCTCCTCACAATACTGACTCCAGCCTCAGCACTTAACTTCAGAGCTGGTGGTGTGCCTTCTCTAAGGCATTTCAGAACCTCACAACTCTCTCTAGTTCCCATTTGCTTTCCTGGATGTTCACTCTTTTCTCCTTCTCATGAAGATACACACAAACCCAAATAAAATTTATACTGCCAATGTTTCCAAAAGCACTAAGGTTTCTTTGTGCCCAGATCATCAGGTACCAAAGGCATTCAAAGTTATCTGCTACACCACTGGGGACAGCTACAGACTGAAGAAATTGGTGATGAGCTACTCGCTACCAACTTGCTGTTGTAAGCAAAACCAAGTCCTCACAAAGTCTCATCATTCATTTTCCCTGTTTTCTCATTATCCATGTTTCCTGTTGGTGAATGCCCTCTAGCTTGGCTTACAGAGGTGCAGACAAACTAGTCAGGTAGAATGTAACTTCACTGCACTTCAGGCATTTAGTTCCAGGAATTAGATATTATTTGGTCTACAGGAAGCTTTTGAACTAAATTAATGTCATCTAATTTTAAATTTAAGCAATCAATCAAAGAAAAAAAGTCACTCCCTAATTCATCCTCAGGATATTGCTGACACAGGGTACACTGGCAGTGCCTGTTTACTAGGCTTCTTTGGTGATTCTCACTAGATACTTACTGTAACTGTAGCAGCCACTTGGAAAACAAGGATTCATGTTGCTGGTTAAGCTCTTTAATTTCAGCAGCATAGGCAAGGGGAGCTTTTTTCAAAAGATCATGCAGTGTTTGCTGTGTTGAGAAAGAGGCAAGACAACAGTCATTCAAAGCCAAGAAGAAACAAGACATATCTGGAGTCCTTAAAAACACCCCTCTTGTATTAGTGTGCTCTCTTGCTAGGGAGCAGAGTAGTTTTCATTGTCTGTGCACTCAATTTGTGGTGTTTTCTTTTCCATGAAGACTCCCCTAAGCACAGCTTTGCTACTGGAGACACAGAGATTAAGTAACCTTGTGATGGGAAATGGCAGCCAGACTAGGACTAGAACAGGTATCACATTTTTTTCTCTTCCTGATGAGTATGGGAAAACCACTACAGAATAACAGACACACTTGAAACTTACACAGCCTCAATCACTGTACCAGGAAGATACCAACATCGCATCCCTGCTCACGGGAGCAAAACCTCCAATCAACATGCTTGGCAATCGTTCAGGTGTTTGTCACTACAAAAACTGCTCACAAACATCATCTTAAATAAGAAGTACAGCAAAAGGAGATAATTTGCAGCTGACAGCTAAATGTGGAAAAAGTATTATTTCAAAAGTATCAAGAACAAAGGATTCGTTAAAGATATGTTGTGATGTTGATGTTTAAACAGCATGGTAGCATGACAAACAGCATCAAATCTACACTGGTCTCCCTTTCTCATCAATTTTAGCAGCTTTGCTTTCCAATCCCTTGCAGCAGAATACAGTTATGCTGGAAAGAACACAAAGACAGCTGCAATGTGTCAGACAAACAAAGCACCGAGAGACAGAACTGCAAAGCCTTTGATTTCTCTGAAGCCAGCAGCAGATTTAGCACTGAAGGCCTTGATTTCCTTCCAGGGCCGTTATGAAAGAACTTGTTCAGAATCCAGATGTTTCTCTGGGTAGCAATTCCAGACAACAGCAGGCATCAGGCAATCTGCATATATGCCACTTTTTAAAAACACAAATGGGTACAAAAAAAGCAGTCATGGACACAAGAGCTCTGAGTGCTGCCCTGGCACTTCTCCTTGTGCACCTGTCTCTGTAGAACACAACTGCTTGCTTTGAACTGTCTTCTGGAAGCGGCATATGAAAAAAAATAATTCAGACACCACAATTAGACCACTCCTGTCTCCTTAAAACTGGAAGGGGACAAAGTACATCTAACAAACTAGGTGACACCATTTAGAGCTGTTCCAGCCCTGCAAGTGGCTTGACCCAGTAATGTTCAGATGCAAACACCTCTCTTGATTTCCTCTACACACAAATACTCATGGCAGCATGTACCTCCCCACAGCATTTCACTGGCAAAAATGCTGCTTTGGTGATAATTTTTAAAGCAGGTCTCTACCCCAAAACCAACTTTAAGCTGTTCTAGTAACTGCAGCTTTCAACTATCAGCTGACCTGATAGTGCCTTTTCCTGCATTTTCTCAGGTTCAATCAGGCATTGTCCCTGCTCAGAGCAGCAGTAGGAAGCATACTGCTTAAAATGCCACCTAAATCAGATTTGCCACCAAGCATGTCATCAGCAGAAATAAAGTGAAAATAGCAACATAAGGAAATTTTGGTGAGGAAGATCTTCATCAAAAAAATGAAAATCTCCCAGAACTGTGTGATTCACTATGAAGTATACCTGATTCAATCTTCTTTTCTGCAACTTCTGCAGTGTTCGGTCTGAAGTTAGCACTTTGGAACTACTGTGAGCTTCAAAGTATTCCTCCACCAGGTTGTTCTAGAAACAAACAGCAAGATCAGACACACTCCTGCTATCAAGTTACTCCTCTCCTTTTGCACCCACAAGCATGCCTGAAGATGGCCAGTATGAGATATAGAGCAAAGATGAATACAAAGACAGAAAATACTTGCAAAAATGGCTTTTATAATAGCACTCTGCCAAAGCTAACCTAGTCAGATGACTCTTTCCTGAAGACAGAGACAGAAAAGAGATTCTGACAGAGAGACCATAGCAGTAATTCTAAGGCAGTGTGGGGATCCCTGGTGCTGGAAGAAAATCAGACAATTAAGCTAAACATCAAGCCAGAACAGTAACATGTGCATCTTTTGGTGTTACAGGAACCAATTTCTTCATCCTTTCTCAATACAAGGCCTCCTGCTCCATGGATATCTTAGAACTTCTCCTCCTGAAACTGCTAAGGATACAGACTGGATTAGCCCACAGGCTCATGTGATGCCTGTCCAACAGGGATCGCTCAAAAGTACAGCAAAAGCCAACCCAGCTGGTTTGATTTGAAATGAGTCCAGTCAGGTGTGGTCACTAGCAGCTTATTGTCACTAAACATCCCTTCACATTTGCTAGCTCAGGAATATATTTTCTGCACACTCACCATCTTTTCCTCATTTTTTCTGGCTAGGCTGTTTCTGGGAGGTGGTGTAGATGCAGCTTTAGTTTTTGCTGGGGTCTTCTGATCTGATGCAAGGGTGCTGACTTCTTTCTGATCTTCATCCTCTCCCTCTGAGCAGGAAGCAGAATACTCACTCTCAGTTTCCAAATAGGGATCTGGAGCTAAAGCATAAATTTAAGGTTGAAAGTTAGGAATGACTTCTCACACAGAACATAATTTGCACCATCACACACTCACACATACATTCCCTTGATGTTTTTCAAGCATACGAATCCTAAATACATTTCATAGACAGGAAAAATCAATGCTTAAGACAACACACATGGCCATTTCTTTCCCAGCTCTAGGATCACAAAGTATTGTTGAAAGTAAAGCTTGCTCCTTGATACCACCTAACATAATCCTACCGTAAAAAGTGACTAAAAATGGAATTCCATATTTCTCTTAGCATCTCTATGTCAGTTTTCCCAAATGCCAATCATGCAAGCTGAGTATCTTCTAAGTCACACTCTGCAAAAAAGGTTTTGTAAAATACCTCTGCTAGCAGTGCTGTTTGAAGAGCACAGATGAAATCTGGCTCAGTCTTTGTCTCTCAACACAAAAGAAATAGAAGATGAAACACCATGTACTAAACTCTCCTCTGCATTTATTTTGAGCACATATAGCCAACCAGCTATTGGAAATACTTTACCATAAATGTCCCACTCATCATCAAAAAGTTTTATGGCCTGGTTCAAGCAATCATGTCACACTTAAGTGTCAGCATAGGTTAGATTACTGAAAGTTTTGCTTCTTTTCATCATGTTACTGAAGTTCAGCAACTTGGTGCTTAGGATCTTTCCACCCCTTACCTTAGTAGCAATCAGTTGTAGAGAAAAAGTCTACATAGATTTTCTTAAGGACATTTCTATGCTCTCTGCAGGATGAATCAGTTTGATTCAGTCACACTGCTACTACAGGAAAAACACTGTTCTGAACACAGTGCCTCACTGACTGTGGGAGCTGACTGCAAATGCTGATCTTTACCTTCTAGCCTCTTTCTGAGTAGGTAAGGTGTAGTAGACACAAGCTCTTTCTTTTTACTCTGTAACAGCAAAGAAAAAACGTGCATTAGAAGAAGAAACATCTCTCCTCTTAAACAGCCCTCTGACAAGCAAATAGTAGAATCAGGTTACACTTCCAAACTATTTCAGTCCACATGAAACTGGGAAAGCAGAGGCAGTAAGTATGGAGAGTTCTTGTTTTGCCATTCAGAGAGAGAGGCAGGACCAGGTTCTGAACGGTCCTAGGTTTAATTCTTTCAACTCATGTCCTGAGGCGAATGGTAGAAAACTGTGAAATCTCCAACAGATATGCCAATCTTGGCTCCTCAGGAATAGTGAGACTGAAGCACTGACAAACTGGAAATGCTTTGGTTCCCACAGCAGTCATCTTCCACATCATGCTGTCTGCTCCATGTCATTTGGAAGTCCTCTACGAAAACAACTACCAGAATGCTTCTCAGCATACTAAGCCCAGAAGCACAGCAAAGGGAACCCGAACTACCTGGGCTCATCAGGATGTAGTGCCACATTTTCCTTATGTATGTGTAAAGCACATGCCTGACTCAGACACCAGAGCAAGTGTGCAATACTTAGGAAACACTTTTGTTGATCCTGACAAAGTGGATGTGAAATCATCAAGGAGTGAATATGGCATCCCAAAACAGCATCTCTTTCTAAGGCATATCTCATCCTGCAACCTTACACTACAAAAGCTGTGCACACATTTCTAATATGATGCTGTAACATTTTAGAAAGCCAACTGTTTCACAGCACTCTCTTTATAACCACCACAACTGGTAGCTCTGGACCACATTTCTCTCTAGTGTCACAAAATACAACATCAACTTACATCCTTCTATTATCACAATTTATTTTTTATAAACAAATGCTAAAGTAAGAAACTGAACAGCACCACAGTCCTGGAACTCCTGTTTTAACAGCACTCCTTGCAATTAAGGCTGTTTCTTCCTTTAGTAAGAAACAGGAAAGCTATGAGTTTAACTGTGTATTAAGGGACTGTCTACCATCCTCACTTGTGTGATGGAAGGTAATAGTCTCTACCCATGCTAATTAAGATGTCAAACCCACTATTTGCCCACTGACTCTAAATCCCATAGTCCTGATTAATGGTAGCTCTGGTTCTCAATTGAGTTACTCCTCTTTGGTTGGATTAGGACAGATGTCTGTACTGTGGATGAGACTTTTCAAGGTCCTTCCTTTCCAGAACTGCAAAAATCGGCCAGTTCTGGTTTTAAAGGCACTGAAAAAAAAACCACAAACACAAAATTCAAGCAAGGAAAAGTCATCACTCACCTTCTGCTGCTCTTTGTTTGAACTTGAATGTTCTGAAAAGCAAGAAACACAATTGTTCAGAGTACTGCACAAGTTCAACAGTGGCACGAGATGGTCCAGTAGAAAAACAGGCATTCACTATTCAAAGGTACACTGCACCAGAACATCAGCTCTCTGGGTGGTTAATCCTATGAGAGAAGCCCCTAGTTTCTCACAGGCAGGCAGGCAAGGAGAGAACAAAGACAGCTGTTGGGAGGAAGGAGTTAAAGGTGGAAGACTGGCAAGGAGAGTTGCAAATATGCTCAAGTGACACTGCAGCTGGGGGATAGCAAAGTCTCAAGTAGCAATGTAGAAAAACACATATACCATCATGCCTATTGCTGTTTACCCTCTGAATGCTTTGAAATGCAGAACATGTGCATATAACATAGGTGTTTGGTAGACCTGGCGGCACCCTAACAGGCTAGAGTTCCCTGTCTTGGTACAGAGAAGATCAAAACACAGTGAAGATCACAGCATGATGGAAAACATGTGCAAAACCACTGATTAACCAGTGTGAACAGCAGGCTGGTGATGCTCTAGCACTGAACCAAACTTAATGGTGCCTGCACCTCCACTCGTGTGCCTCTGCCTGGGTGTTGCTTTGGGGAACCCCAGGTTAGTGAGGTAACAGAAACACATTCACACTTTTCTTTCCAGCTGTGAGTTTGTGGTTGTTGCAGATGCCTGCCTGTGTTGACTCACACAACAGTCAATCCTACTGCCACAGAGGGCAGCTTTTAATTCTGGTCACAACTTTGGAAGTCCATCAGCAGGAGGGAAAAGGCTGCAAGATGAGCGAGCATTCTCTCCCTGAGCATATCAGACTCAATTTCCATGCACATAAAGAAACATGCTCTTGCTAGTGTTGACCTGCCCTGACTTCTCCCTACCTGTATTTCTCCCTGCAACACTGTGTGGTCAAATCTTATATAATGAAGTGTGAATTTACCCATGAACACCCACATAGTCCAACCCATTTGGTGCTTACCACATCAGCCCAGCTTATAACTCTCTCAAGCGCAAGTATTTCTGTTGAACAGAGGAAATCATTAAATGTCACAGCAACAGATGAGAAAGAAGTTCCTGTTCTCTACAGCAGCAGGGCAGAAGAAGAAATGTGACACCCAGGTGCAGCAGAGGCCATGCAAACCAAGCAGTTCAGCTATGGTGTTAAGCTGACTAGACTACTCAAGCATGACAGAAGTTGGCACTCAAGCATCCACTCCATCACACAAATAGCAACACAACCCCCGTTCACTCAGCTTCAGTCCTCCAAACCATCAGACTTACTGCTACTTTGAGGGGATTTGGCTGTTTTGTCAGGGCACTTGGAGTCATCAGATGTCACACTCTTTTTTGGTGTCTGGGCTAATTCAGATGCTGTAGGAAACAGGGGGATGAGAAGAAGTTTCACATGTCAGGTACAAATCTCCAGGCTCTGGCTAGTCAGACATGGATCCATACCTTGAAATGCTAAGTATTAGTTTCCTAGGTATTTCAGGAAGTGCACCAGATACTTCAATTTTTTTCCTAACCCGAATGGTGTATGTAATCCTCAGCAAATATTTTCAAAGGCTGAACTCCTAGTTAATTAATTTTGCAAGTATGGCTGAAGCAATGGCAGCACTTTGCCCCCTGGGAAACATGTCTTCGAACAAGAGCAATGTTTGGTCATGCTCACTTAGCTGGACATAGCAGAGCATCAGGAATAGCAAATATGTCCGTTCTTCAGGAAGTATTCCACTTACCTCTTTCTACTACTTATCAGTACAAGCTGAATGACTAATCTGAATGTGAAAGGCTCCCATATCCTGCCAACAGACCCTCCACTGTACGACCAACAGCATATTCTATGTAACAATACTGTGACTAACAGCCTGTCATTGTATGACTCGCCTCAGTTTTCAAACTGAGCCATGGCTTGAGGAGAGAGCACCAGTGAAACCTACCCTGCTGCAGAAGGAGGTGTAAGGTAAGAAACACACAACTCCCAAAACACAGCAGAACCAAAGAGGCACTGAAACCAGTCTCTGTATAGTGATACAGTAAGATGATCCCTCTCCCTTGGATCATCCTTTTTAAGATGTATAGTAGCTGTGACAGCTAAACACTAATTGAAGTTCAGATGATGCTGGACACAAAGACTCTTCAAGTGAGAAGAAACTGACAGCAGGGCTCAAGTCTCTTAAACAGTCCACCCTCTCCAGAACTGCCACTTTCTGCTTGCTTCTCCTAAGTTCAGTTAGCCTAGAAAGCACACTCACACACTTTGAGTAGGACAAATGCCCTGAGACACAAAGCTGACGCTACCTTTTCTTGATTCTGTGACATAATGAGGGTATTCTCACATCCTTCTAAGTTACACAACTAAAACCCCTGCCATCCTTTCACACTTACATGCAGAATTTCTCCAGGCATTAAGAAACTTCTATGTTTTCTTATGTGTTTATTATCCGTAATTCTTACCCTCATCATGTCTTTGCTTTGACCTAGCCCTTGCTTTTGTTTCTCAGGAAGACTGATTCAAAGGCAGATAAAAAATACTGAAATACTGCAAGCACATCTTTTGAATAAAAACAAGTGACACACTATGTTAACAGAGTACTCAAAAAAACCAGACCACAGCCAGAGCAAGAAAGAAAGGATAAAAAGCAAAACATACCCAGCTCTGCCATCTTACTGGAGCGTTTGGGAGACTGGAATGAGTAAACTTCACTGCCACTTACATTTGAGCCATTTCCCACTGGATCTGTGAAATGAAATGTTATTTGCAGCTATTTTAAAAGCATTTATATATTCCCAACCCAAGAAAGATGGAATGCAATATTACACTATTTGGCTCAAAGGAATCTCTATGTTGCAGGTGTTATGAAATAAATACAATAAAATCCTAGAATCATAATCCTCTCCTCTACCTGTTACCACAAGCACAGACAGAGCTGGTTCACCTCTCCAAAGCAATTCACCAACATTACACAACCCTGACATTGCAAGAATCTCCTGAAGTCACAGTTGTGTTAGGTTTTCCCCTGCTAATACCTTGGGCACATATTCCAAGAGCAGTCACATAGTTCTTCTCTTCCGGGATATCCTGCGCTTCGTTTTCTGAAATATTCTTAAGCTTCTTCACAAATCCCTTCACATTGACACTCAGCTGAGCCTTGTCCTTTTGTACTTTAAAACCTAGGATTGCAATAAAAGCTTTAACCTCCTTCTCTTTCATTATTTCTACGGCAGTAGCATGCAGTCACCCCGTTCAGAGACCAAGCTAAACCAATACAATGCTGAGATGTCCTGCTAACAGAACAGCTGGTCAGAAGCTGCCCCTGCAGCCATCAGTGCCTCCCGCGCCGCTGACGCCGGTCCCTGCGGGCCGGGAGACCCATTCAGTCCCCGCCAGCACCCACAGTTTGGGAGAAACGACAGTGCCTCACACATTACAGCATTAAACTGCATGCGCAGGGGATGGTATTTGCCACCCCCTCCGTTTCCAAGCAAAGGAAAGCATGTGGAAACAGCCAGCCCGCAGGCTGCCAGCGCGCCCACGGGAGAATCCGGGCTGACACCCCCCGCCTGACCTCCTGCTCAACGCAGGACGGGACATGCAGTCTGATCCGGAAGCTTTGTGCCTTGCCCAGGCAAGTCTTAAGCATCTCCACAAAGGTGCCAAACCTCGGAAGTTGTCAGAACTGCAGCAAGAGGCTCCTAGAGGAACCACCCG